CTCCTACCTTTCCACACCTACCACTTATGTTACCAGATTCCAAATCTATGGAGAATTAATCCATTCCTTAGGTCAGAGCCTTAGTCATGTCCTTATCACATGTGTCACAGACATGGGCTGAAGTTCTGTGTGTTTTCCTTATACAATCAAGTTGATAATTAAGATGAACAGTCTCAGGGCTGAGGAGACCACTCCATTAGCAAGCCTTTTGCCCTGCAAGCACAGAGACCTAAGTTTGCTCCCCAGAACCTATGTAAAAGAGCAGCTGTAATTACTCACTTGTAATCCCAATGCTGAGGAAGAAGATAAAGGCAGATCCTGGGGTGCACTGGTTTGCCAGCCTGGTTGGACTGCTAGGTTTCAGCGCAGTAAGACAACCTGACTCAACAAATAGTAGACAATGTTCTGAGGGACAGCATTTGGGATTGACCTCTGGTCTGCACATGCACCTTCATACACATTGTATACACACATGCACACACACACAGGTACACATGTACATACTCATACAAACAGATCGACTGACTCAGGTGACTGAGCCCATCCTCACCTCTTCCCTTCCTCTTTCCACTTTTATTCCTCGGGTGAATGCTGGCAAATGCCCCTCATGTCTATGACATTCTCATCAGAGCAAGAATTGAGATTGTGTACAGAACTCATGCTGCCCTTGCCATTCTTCAGCTTGCACGGTGGTGGACAGACATGCTTTTAAGATTAAACGTAAAATGAAAGCTTGCAATGTACTCTGGAGGAAAGATAATGAGCTCTTGAGGCCGTTGTGCCTCAAGATGTTTCCATAAGGAGAAATCAATGTGTGGGAACTGATTTGGTATGACTAGCACTCTAGGTCAAAGTTCAGGCATGTGTGACCTCTCTGTGGCAGGTGAAGTCTCTTTAGAAATTAATGAATACACAAAATTTGGAGCAAGTCCTCAGAGATAAATAAGTAAAGTTCGAGGTCCAGGGGTCCATTCTGCAAGGTGTCAACCCATATCATGAAATAACGTGGAATAAAGCAGGAAGTGATGGATGAAGGATCCAAATGGTCCAGTAATGTCTTTGGGTTTTGTGAAGATTTCCAGGCTTCCCTACACAGAACTTGTAGTGCAGGCCTGGAGACAGCAGAAGATGCCATTGCAGAACCTCTGCATCCAAGAGTCGGTGGATGGTACAGTCTATGAAAGCATAAAGTGTTGAAGTAACCAGTCTTGATTAGACATTAAGATAGCTACTAGAAGCCCAGGGGTCACCAACTCCACTGTCTTGGGAGCAATCCTCCTTCTGTTTTGTCTTCCCATTTGGATAGAGTGCAAAGGGGGAGTGGCTAGGGCATGAGTGTGCATTCACCCCGTTGTGCCTGGTGAGCATATGCAGGCCCCTCACAATAGCTTTTCATTCCTGGTGCAGTCTCGACAGGATGAAAATCCAGCCAGTTCTGCTGAGGCGTAAGGTTCTTGCTGAATGTCCTTTGCTCTTTAGAGAGTTAGTTAAAATCATGCGTTAAGGAAACAGGGCTATGGAAATAGCTGAATGAGGAAAGTGTGCTGTGTAAGCATGTGGACTTGAGCTCAGTCTCCATAAACCACATGAAAAGCTTGCTGTGGTGGTACACGTTTACAATCTCAGCACAGGTGAGGTGGAAGCAGGTGACTCCTCCGCTCCCTGGTCAGACTGCCTCGCCTAATTAGTGAGCTCAGGCCACTGAAGAGAACCTGCTCAAAAAACTAAGCGGAGAGCAGCTGAGGAATGATATCTGAGGCTGACCGCTGGCTTTTATATGCATGCAATGCACACATACTTGTGTCTGCATATATGTGTGCGTGCACACACACACACACACACACACACACATACACACACACACACAAATAATCTGTATCTTTTCACTGGAACTCTTGAGAGCACTTTGTTTCTTTGTGCTGTCTGTGCCTTTGCTAATGACCATTTTTAGTCTCACCTTGTAACAACAGCCTTAGTTAGCCCTTGTTTTTATAAAGTAGCCTACCTAGAGTATTTGACACATTCTTATTAGTGAAAAGGGGGAAATGTAAGATTAATTTCAGCTTCACGTTGAGCTAAAAACAGATGGTGAGGAGTGGGCATCAGGCATATGTAGACATAAAATTAATTGCTGTTACCTGGGTACCACACATCCAGAGCATAAGAGGAGGCCATGATGCTCAGAGAAAACCTTTCCCTGAAATGGAGGTCACTTTCCTTCCTCAGTGCTTGTAACGCTCTGGGTCAGTGAGGAATTACTTCTTAGACTATACAATATGGTGAACAGCTGGTAAGTGCCTGGGCATTGGGCCAGATGACAAATCTGTGGTGCGCAATTAAACCTTGCCTCAGTTCTCTAGCTATGAGTAGTTCAGGTCCATAAAGGGTTAGAGAGATTACTCAGTCATGTTCCGATAAAGGAATGTGTTAGTGACCATAGCTACCTGCCAAAGATTTGGCAGAGAGCAGTAAAACCTCTTGGGTGGTCATCGAAGAATGAGTTCACATCGGATCAGATAAGGCCGCTCAAAGAGAGAAAAGGACATGATCAAAGGGCCTGAAGAGAAATGAAGCCTTAGGTCTTGTTGGTGGTAGCTTGATATAGCTGGGTCTTATGGTGAACAAGTACACTCCAAAACAAAGGAAATGACAGGAAGGTGGGAAAATATGCTAAGTTCGAGACTGACTAGAGTAGACAGAATTGTTTTTAATAAGCAGGAGGAGGCCTACACATTTGCCTACAGAGCTGGGAGATAAAGGATTCATGGAAGTTCTACTTTTCCTAGAAATCAGACTGTCTTCCTATGTAGTTCAAAGAATCCTGTAAGTTGGCTATTCATTCCTGAACTTTCTCAACTCTTCTCCCAGGCTCATGTTCATCTAGTTACCTTTTATCTTCCAGATCTCAGCTCCCTGACAAGTTACTTTATTCTAATTTTTAGATTTAGTTATTTTCTTTTTTGTGTATGAGCCGTTTGTCTGCATGTAAATATTGGGCTGTGTGCTTGCTTGGTGCCCACAGAAGCCATGGTGGTGGGGACAGCGTTACATACTCCGGAACTCACTATGGATGACCTAAGTCACTATGTGTGTTTTAGGAACTGAGCCAGGGTCCTCTGCAAGAACAAGGGCTCTTAACTGCTAAGTGGGCGGGTAAACAGTAAGATGTATGTAAGAAAGAATGGATGGATGGACAAAGGGATGCAAAAATGAATGGATGCAGAGGTTATGAGTGTGTGAAGAGAAAATTTGTACAAATATGGAT